AGCGTAAAAAGTGTGGCAATTATATGCAGGGAAATTCTAACATTAAAATAAACACTGACACATGTAGCACCAGCGAGCCAAAAACGGAGTGAGAATTTTTGACTTTCGCGTTTAAATTACAGCCCAGTAAATTCGCTAGAGCGTTGAAATCATCTGTATCGTCTAATTTTATAGATCATGTGTCTACGAGTTGTAAAATAAACTCACGAGAGCATGAATAAGAGAGTTAAGTCCGAGAAGGAACTCTGTGAACACCTGCTTCAATTAAGATGTAGCAGTTGTTGCAGAAAACTAGAAATTGGGGGGAAAATACCTAGCAATTTGAAAAGGTGTCAGACACTCTTGGCACTGATAGGGACGAACAGTGACCAAATAATATTAAGCAGGTAGCAAAGGCACTGTACAAAACAGTCGGTAAACGGCATAACATCTGCCGTAACTTACCTAAATCGTCAAACAATCTAAAAAACTGAACACGGAAGGATTCAATGAAAAGTGATCACAAAGCCATCACTGCTTTCCTTACGTCCTGGCACCTTCGCGTCCCGCTGTGCCTCGCACACCAACCTAGCGTCTGTCGATAATCGTGTGGCGACCGGTAGCATAATTAGGGTAGTCCTACACCTTATCCTTTGACGTATAGTGCAATGGCTAATATGCTTGACTTCGAATTAATAGAACGTGAGTTTGAACCTCAAGGGTTGCGTAACTTGCGATTTTGTATGAATGGTTATTGGCTAATAATATTTCAAACGTGGCGATTGAAATCGCCCCTGTCTTCTTCGGCAACGCCTCTGACTGATTTCTCATATTTCATAGCTCCCATTCGTGTTGATAAATAAACATTTCTCTAACGACTCACATTTTCTCCACGTCTGCATTACCAGGTAACTAATCTGATCTTATGGTTCGCATTAAACTATAGCGTACTGTTTTTAAAAAAATTGTAGACGCGATCCCAGTTTGCAGATTTAATAACGAAAATAACACTGGTTCTGGCAGTATTCCTTACTTGTTGAAAGATCAAAAATGAGCCTGCATTCTGTTCCTTCAGTTCAAATGTGCTATTTTTTATCATATATGCTGAGACATAGCAATTCGGTCCCAGCTGCTTTGACTACTGTCATGGGTTCAATTCCAAGAGCAAAGTTAAAACTCAAAAACACAGCGGATCCTTTGACGAAGATTGGTTGACTACAGCCAATTAAAAAAAAATATCGGCAGATCCCAATCATTTTGCGAAAATAGCTAACATAACTCGAAGGGATCCGCACCGGCAGTCAATAAGCGAATTTTTTCCTTTATGATTCAGCATTTTTGTGGAGAACGCTTCATTTTGAAGTTGAACATCAAAAATGTTCAGCAAAATGTGGCCCCAATCACTAAGGCCAAGGAATGGGTTTATAAAATACTTGAAAATCTACAAGTTTACATGATGATCTTTTATGGAGACAAGTCTAATCTCAGCTTTTTGACTTCCGTTTCTTTGCGCGTGAGTTAGCGCGTTAGAATGGGACTACAGAGCGGCGCATATTAAGAGAAGACTTCGCAGCCATTAATTCAGAGTGATGTGGGTGGGCAACTTCATCAAGAATTCAATCAGGAAATTGCTTGACGGTTTTCAAGTATCTGTTTATGGGAATATCAAACAAAATGCATAAATAACATCGACAGATGAAGAGAGCATTCGGATGATACATTTAAAATTAACAAGTCTTTTTTAAGCAAGGCTGGACAAATAACCGGCAGGCAATAAAGAATCAGGGAGAAAATGCAGGCATCTGTAGATTTCCAGATTAGGCCCTGAGGTCTGTTATATTAACGTAACCGACGGATATACTATAGGAGTTTACGAATTTTTAATGAAGTAGGTTCCAATGTGAAGAGCAAATGAAAGATTTGACGTCTGAGTAACAGCAAGTTTCCACAAAGAGGAGACCTAATTTGGAAAGATATTTAAGAATGTAGTACTGGTAAATAGTCACAATCAGAAAACGCACTAGAATGATTTCTGATTATTCAGTAGAAGACCACTGACTGAGACTGGGTCCAGGCCTTCCTTCAGTTACTGGAGATATACTTTACTTTCGAGTGGATGACCAACAATCATATCCTCAGCATATTTTACATACAAAAATTAATTTGGCGATCGTAGGTCGTCAGTGTGGAAGTTGAGGAGGTAAAACAGACCCTTGAAGAACTCCCCAGGTGTTGGGAAGGACCGTTGATTCTTGCTTGCCGCACTGGACGAATTGCGCAGATTAAAATGGTGACAAGCCAAGAGA